AGAAAGTTCATTCACTCGTTCCGGAAAGTTGCTTCTTTACAATGTTTAGTTGAACATAAAATGGATGTGGAAGAAACATTTTCCAAAAAAGGAGTTTTAATTGTAGGAAAGTTGGTCCTCTCAATTTCTAGATTGTAACACTTGTCTATGTCTCAACTAGACCTGTTCATAGGCTGGGTAGTTCGACAGCTTATAGGCTTGGACATCCAAGCCTGACCCAATAATATTTTATATTATAATATATATAATATTTTTTGTTTATTCTTCTTCTCTTTTCTCAAGCCATATTGAGTTCGTTCTTATAGTGTTTTTTGGTTTTGAGCTTGTTTTTAATACAAACAAATCAGTTTTGTTGTTGAGTAAAAAAAACAAAAATCTTCTTGCCCAATTTCTAGGCCGAGCTCAGGCTCGGGCTTGAATGTGTTCTGTTAATAAAGAGGCAGAGCGTGGCGCAAAGCTAGCCCAGCTCAGCCCATGAACAGTCCAGCCTCAACTAATTCCAAGTTAAAACAAATACCTGGAAAACTATAAGGTTGTGTCTGGTTTGAAAGAAAAGGTAGGAAAAGGAAGGGATTCCATACCTTTTTTTTCAACCAAACACAGCTTCACTATAATTCATTTTCCTATTGAGCATCATTTTCCAAGCAAATCATTCATTTTCCTCATTCGACGTACAATTAAACAGAGCCCTAGTCAAACTCCCTAACGGGAGCTTAATGAAAAAGTACAGACAGGCCCAATGCAGATTTTTGAGATTCACTGCAGATCTATAAACATTCAAAATGTCAAATACCCCCACTCTATACACCAATGCCCGCCCATCAATTCCGAGTTGGCACCTATCCCAACTGTACTTTAGGCCTAAAAATTCTGACCCTGGGCTGAACTGTCATTCTCCCTAACCCTAATCCATTTCCCTATTGAGCATCATTTTCCAAGAAAATCATTCATTTTCCTCTTTTGACATACAATTATACAGAGCTCTAGACTTTTGTGTTTCTTTTTATTTTTTTTGAAACTGCAAACAGAGCCCTAGTCAAACAGCCTAACGGGAGTCTGATTTATATTGATACTCTATTTCATAAGAGATGCCTACAGACGCAACCATACATGCTCCAACATTGGGATCTCCCATGAGGGATTCCTTATTTCCTATAACAAATAGAACAAGATTCTCACTGAAAAAAGGAAAATTCTCAATCAATTCCCTCCATTTAAGTCTTAACCTGTTGTGAAATTCTTAACTCAAAAGCCTAAAATAGGGAAAGAAACATAAATCCCTACCTGCTATAACTGTCAATAACAAAAACAGTACATGAATTTCATTTCTCAAGTCATTTGCTAATCCACTTGTGCCATTTCTTGATGTGTATCAGATCTCGAGCTTCTTCAATATATAAAAGCATGGCCTCACATGAGATCACCTTGTTTCTGGGAGGAAATCAGCATAGCTCTCCAACTGGGGTTCATTGGAAGCATATTAGTCCATTTCCTATGGAAAAAGTTCACTCTGTCACGCACAAGGAGATCAAACAGCAAAGAAGATGACTTCACAAGTCAACTTCAGATTGGTGTAAAACTTGGCCTCTCCTACAAAGCAAGCATTGGTTGCTCCAGTTTGCTATTAGTAAGCCATTGCCTCTTGCTTCTGATGCTACTGAATGGAAATGGAACCCATTGCAGATTTACAAACTTAGTCCTTCTGGGAGAAATCATGCAAGTGGTATCATGGTCAATGGCATTAGTCGTGCTATTCAATACACAGAAAGCAAGATCCATGATGCTTCCCTGGAATGTAAGAATCTGGTGGATTTATAGCTTCTTGCACTCCATTATCTGCACTGCTCTTGATATATATTACATTCTTAGGAACCATGGGTCTCCGGGAATCGGAGACTACATTGCCTTCCTTGATCTCCCAGCCTCCACCTGCCTGTTAGGGATATCGATCAGAGGGGCCACAGGCATCTCATTCTTTGAAACTGGCATTACAAACCCACTTCTCAATGTTAAAACTGAAAAGCATGCAGAAGAAAATAGGGAATCTCCATATGGAAAAGCTACACCTCTCCAACGTATCACCTTCTCATGGCTCAATCCACTGTTTGAAGTCGGGAACAAGAGACCCCTTGAACAAGAAGAGATCCCTGACATAGATATCAGAGACTCGGCCGGATTCCTCTCCTGCTTGTTCAATGACAGTCTAAATTGTGTCAAAAATATGGATGCTACAACAAACCCATCTATATACAAAGCAATCTTTCTATTTATCTGGAAAAAAGCAGCAACCAATGCATTGTTTGCAATGATTGGTGCTGTAGCATCATGTATCGGGCCATACTTGATTGACGACCTTGTGAAGTTCCTGAGTGGAAAGAAGCAGCAACACAGCTTGAGTGGGTACCTTCTTGCATTAGCCTTTCTGAGTTCCAAAGTCATCGAGACAGTGGCTCAGAGACAATGGATCTTTGGGGCCTACCAGCTAGGCCTTCGCCTGAGAGTGGCTCTGATATCCCAAATCTATAAAAAAGGCCTGTATCTATCAAGTGAATCCCGCCAAAGCCATGCCAGTGGAGAAATCATCAACTATATGAGTGTTGATCTCCAACGTATTGTGGACATCATGTATTTCATGAACATAATCTGGATGTTGCCCATACAAATTTCCCTGGCAATTTATATTTTAAGCAACAACCTGGGTCTTCTTGGCTCTCTGGTGTCATTAGCAGCAATGGTGATTATATTAGCCATTAACATACCCAATACAAAGATCCAAAGGAGGTTCCAGTCAAAGATGATGGGCGCCAAGGACAGCAGAATGAAAGCCACAGCTGAGGTTCTTCGAAATATGAGGACTGTGAAACTTCAAGCCTGGGAAACTCGATTCCTCCACAAGCTTGAAAGCTTGAGAAAGATCGAGTACATATGGATATGGAAAGCACGCAGTTTGGCAGCAATCTCATCTTTTCTCTTCTGGGGATCCCCTTCCTTCATCTCAATAATGGCCTTTGGGACAAGTATACCAATGGGGATCCCATTCACAGTTGGGAAGGTTTTATCTGTGCTGGCAACCTTCCGGATGTTACAGTACCCATTGTTCAATTTATCCGATTTGCTATCAGCAGCTGCAAAAGCCAAAGTTTCAATCGACAGAGTCACTTCATACCTCCAGCAAGGTGAAGTTCAAATGGATGCAGTCTTGTTTGCTCCAAAAGATGAGTCAGAATTCGATATCGAGATTAGCGCTGGAAAGTTCAGCTGGAATCCAGAGTCAAGAATCCCAACTCTAGACGGAATAGAGTTGAAAGTGAAAAGAGGGATGAAAGTAGCAATCTGTGGAACTGTAGGATCAGGGAAATCTAGTCTTCTCTCAAGCATACTTGGAGATATAATGAAGTTGTCAGGAACAGTGAAGATCAGTGGGACAAAGGCTTACGTTCCTCAGTCTCCMTGGATATTGWCAGGAACGRTCAGAGAGAATATCCTTTTTGGAAATCCATTTGACAGTGTCAGGTATGACAGAACAGTTAAAGCATGTGCTTTGATGAAGGATTTCCAGCTCTTTCCCTGTGGTGACTT